GCGGCCGCGCAAGTCGGCGGGGCCGGCCCTGGCGGCGGTGCTGCCCGCGCGCGGGGGGGCCCGATCCCAGGCTGGCCCCTTCTTCCCACCGCGGGCGGAAGTGCCCGCGCGGTGGCCTGGCCGCTCTGGCGGGGGGGGGGGGGGGCGGCGGTCGCGGGAGGCCTGCGCGATCGGCGTGGCCGCGCAGCTCCCGCTGGCGCTGGGTATCCCTGGGTTCTGCCGGCCGCGGCGCGCAGGCGTGGGCCGCTCGCGCTGCCGTGGCAAATATTTTTAACGGTTGGACCAGATGGTTGCAGAGTGCAGTGCAATTCAGTGCTGCTCAACACACTGCTGTGCTCCTCTGCCCCCTGCTCTGCTCTGCTCTACCTCCTTGCGCTACGAAGCGTCGGGTGCGTTCTGCCTCGCAGCAATGTCAGACAACGGTTTGTCCCAGATCTGCCCCTCGTACTTCAGGCGCAGGGCGCGCAGATGCGGCGGCGCTAGGGTGTCCCGCTCAGGATCTGGCGATGGGCGCTCTTGCCCAGGTTGTGCGCACCTTGGAGAGCCGCGAATTCTCCCAGACCAATTGTCGCTGATAGGTCGCGAAAGACGTGCGATCTACCTTCCCTGTAGGTAAAGTAAACGTTTTGCAAGTATTTCGGCCCCGCGTCTTCGAGCGTCCCTCTGGCGTTCTGCAGCCCCCCCGCATGGGTGTGATCTGCAAACGCAGATTTCATGTTTGCGAGCTCGCGCTTGCGCCCCCGCGAGTCGCGGGGCGCGTTCGGGTGTTCGACGCACTCCAACAGGCGCGGAGGGCAAGCCTGCATTGCCATCATCGCGCGGTCGGCGCCCTGGAATTCTCCCCCGCGAGAGGCCAGGCAAGACCGCGGCGAATGCGCCAATCTGGATCTGGCACAACTGCGCCCTTTCCACTGCTGGTAATGAACTCCGCCGCCGTGATCAGCCGCCCGGAGAAGACAGCGACGTTCGCCTTCCTTTTGCTTCGACTCGCGAGCTCATACTTGAAGTCCCGGGTGAGCCGCGACTGTTGGGCCGGCGCTGCCGGCCGACTCCAATCGTCTGTGATCAGGCGGTCGCGCGCCGCGCACTCGTCCGTAAAGTGCCCCGATCGAGCCGGGGCCGCGACTACTTCCTGGCGCGCTTCGTCGGCGCCGCGCGATCGAGCTGCGCGGTGTCAGAACGTGATTGGCGGCGTGAGGCAAAGCGGTCTGGTGCCATGAAGAGTGCGCGCGCGCTCCTCTGTCTCGGCGTAGTTCTGGAAGGACAGGCGCGTCGGGATTTATTCAAGGATGACTACTTGCCGATGGCAGAGGTCAGAAAAGGTGGTCACATGTAGCCGTCTTTCTCTAGCGTGTAGCCCTCCGCACTGGGCGCCGTCGCCCATGCGTGGGTGTTCAGTGCGTCGCGCACTTCCTCTTTGAAGTCCAAGAATTCCACTCATCGCCTCTAGCGAGACCCTTCGAGCGCCGCCTCCGACGCCCCGCCCCGTGCTCCGGTGCGCAAGTAGGTGGGCTGGCCCGAAGGGGATCGCCAGGCCGAGCGCAAGTGTGGTGATGCACAGGAACCTGGGGGGCTGGTGGAAGTCGCCATCAGAACCCAAAGCATTCAATATGGTCTTCATAAGTCAGAGCTCGCATATGTATCGAATTGCTGACCTGGCCTGCAACCGTGCGCGTGATCGATCCACGGATTTTCTGCGGGTGGACAAACTTAGAGAACTCACTCGACGCTCTGCTGCGTCTTGTGGTGTCCTCGGCGAACTTGTCGGTGGCGTGTGTGTGTGTGTGTGTGTGTGTGTGTGTGTGTGTGTGTGTGTGTGTGTGCGTGTGTGTGTGCGTGTGTGTGTGTGAGTGTGTGTGTGTGTGTGTGTGGGTATCGTCGCCGCCCAGAAACTAGGCGCGAACCCGATCCAGGTGGCGCCCGGATGCGCAGCCCAGAGGGCTTGACAGCCTTACTCTCATCTCGACTGTCGTGCCCTGGCAGCCCTTATCCTCGAGGACGCGCAGAATGATCGTTTTGGCCATCTCGCCCGACTTGAAGCGAACGGTGCCCCTCGGGGCTTCGTGCATTGGAGTCGACCGCCCGCAGTCCTCGGTCTCGTAGTCGACGGAACAGCTCGCGCGCAGTCCGCCCGAGCGCATGATGTTCAAAGGGGGCGCATTCCCCTCCATCGGCGAAGACCGCCGCCCCGTCGAACTGAACGGCCCCCTCGGGCTCCGCGCCTTCAGCAGCAGCGCCCGCGGGGGCTCGAGGCGTGCAGGGGATCTGCGGACTCGCAGCGCGAAGGCGCCATGGGCCTCGAGGCGATCTCGTGCAACATTTGGCAGAGCGTCGGGGTGACAGGCGGCTCTGCGGGCCCCGCGCCGTCAGGCCTGGGGCTCCGGGCGGAGAGCCCGCTGCCGGGAGCCTCGCGCAGTTCGCGGGTTGCGTCCATAGCCCTGGCAAGCGCGGCCGTCTCTGGCCGCGTCAGCCGCTAGCGCGCCTCGACATAGGCGGCCTCCAGGCCCTCGTGGGCGCGCCGCAGCTTGCCGGCGTCCTCGTGCGGGCCCTCGGACAGGCCGCGCACCGTGGTGAGATCGCCTGCGCGCAAGAATGTCCCTGGATCAGAGTAACCTTTGGTGCGTGTTTTTTTGGGGGCCTCGGGGGGGCCCGAACACGTGCGCGCAAGACGCTGCTATCGCGTCGCGTTCGGCGACAGGGGGGCCCTGGTGCGATGCGATGCGACCACCGTTGCGGACAGCGTCCGGGCCTAGTCAAGGCCAGGTGGGCGAGGCCGTGGCCTCGGGAATCTGGCGTGTCTGGATAACGTGCAATGCGAGACAAATGCGCAAACAATTCGGTGGAGGAACGGAGGGAGGATGGTCCTTGGGGTCGGTCGTGTCAGCCTGTGTGGGAAGAAAGGAAGGGGGAAGAGGAGGACGTCCTGGGTGTCGGTGTCGACGTGCGTGTCGTCTCGACTCTCGCTGGGCGCTCGCGTCATTGGCTCCGGTTCTGGGTGTCTGCTGGTGTGGGGTCGACGTAGTGGTGCTCGAGCGCCGTCCATGTTTCGGTGTCCTGTGCTGTTTGAATCCATATGTAATGTCGTTTGGTTCTCCTGTCGCGCAGGTCTGTGCGGTCGGTCGGTGAAGGTCTGGTCTGCGTTGGCGTAGACAAATGCTGACTTCGTCGTCCGAACGTCTGTGTGGACGACCGTGCTGCCTCTGTCCTCGCTGCCGTGGGTTGATGTCTGGTCACCATTGCAACACTTGCTGTGCCCAACGTGTCTGGGTGTGGTTTGCGGCTCTTTAAGCCATCTGCCATACTTTTCGCTTGTGAGCCGTCTCCCAGTTGTCGATGCGGTGGAGCTTCGTGAGGTGTTCTGCACGTCGTGTCGCTCGCTGTAGATAATCGACCCAGGGTTCCTCCAGGTGTGTTGTAGTGCTCGCTTCGCCGTCTTCGCTGTGCACGTCAGGTGTGGCAGGTGTGTCGCGCTGGGGTGGGTTGCTGTCTGCGTCGTCGTTAGTGCTGTTGTTGCAGTGGTCGTTATTTGGTGCGTCGTTGTGTGGTGCTTCGTTGTCTGGTGCTTCGTTGTCTGGTGGTCGCTGGTTGCTGTGAGGGTCAGTTTGTGTTGTCGTGTGTCGTCTCGGCGTTCTGGTGATCATGTGAAGCATGCGTCGTTGTGTCCGTCGTAGGTGCTGTGGTGCTGCCGTACGGCTTCCGTGAGGGTCCAAGTCTCTGCTCCGTATAGTGCTGTCGGTGTTACTGTGTTGTTGAACAGGCGGGGTCGGTGAGCCAGTGGGTAGTACTTGCTAGTCAGCTCTTGTTTGCGAGAAAGATGCCCCTGCAGCTCTCCTGCGGTGCTGAGTCTCCGCCAAAAGGTCCCTCCGGCGAAGGGTCACTTTTACTTGTAATCGTTGGGAGAGAGGCCGGGGGCAAGGGCCAAGCGGCGCCGGAGGCTGGCTCGGGCGGCAAGAGAAGCCACTGGCTGTCGTCCGGCGAGGCCGCAGACTCGCCGCCGCAGGAGGAGGAGGAGGAGGAGGAGGAGGAGGAGGAGGAGGAGGAGGGAAGAGGGAGGAGGAGGAGGAGGAGGAGGAGGAGGAGGAGGAGGAGGAGGAGGAGGAGGCTCCGCATCGCGCTCGCGCGGCAGACGGGGGACTTCGCGCAGGGGGCCTTCGCGCGCGGACGGGCCCCGTGCTCTCCACGACGACGACGGCGGCGACGACGAGCCGCGGGTTTCGCGTGGGCGTTCGCAGCGGGCTGAGGGCGCCTTCGCGCGCGGACCGGGGTGCGCTCTCGGCAACTGTGCGGCTCCTCGCAAGGTGCTCGAGATCTTGAGCCCAAGTGGCTGTCGGCACGGGGCGCCTGATCTTGGGATCCTCTCTGGATCTCTGTTCGGGCCTGTTGGGTCGTTTCGGCCGTGCCCTAGTCTTCGGGTTGCACCTGATCCACTCTTTTTCTATTTGCGGCCTAACGGGCTCGAGAATTATCAATCTTTCTACCCCCTTTGGTGGCACAGTGCTGGTTTCCCCAACCAGAACAGCCGCTTGTCAGCTCATGTTCCAGCACCCAGGGTCCACTGCCCTTGGAGCAAGCTTTTGTTTTTGTGTAGCCGCCGCTCTTCTAACAGTCTTCAAAGCTGTGGACTTTACTAACATTCCAGCGCACTGATCCGCGGCAGTGTCGACGTCTCCCCGACACGCGAAACAATTGCACATTCTAAATTGGGAGTTGCCATGCTGTGCCGATCATATAGGTGAGCTGGGCATCCTTCAGCGAAACAAGTTCGCGCTCTAACCCTAGCGCGAAGGATAACACGAGACTTCTATCTCATGAAGGGCTTTGTCAATGTCAGGGCGTTGTCAACATGTGGCCTGCGCAGTTTAACTGAAGTGTCATCGCTTCTACCTGGGACCCACATGCATGCCAGGAGACAGGATTCCCTGTAAGACACGATTCATGTTGCTAGCATTCTTGACTGCAAGAGTTGGCCTCTCTTCCTGCGATCTCCCCAGATCTGCTGCCTGGACGTGCTGCCATTGTTGAGCGCCATCGTGACCTCTATCAGCGCCTGCCAGCGCCATTGCCGAGCGTTCCCCAGCTCAGGGCAAAACGAAACGCATGAACAGAGAGACGGAGAAGAGGACGGCGCGACCATCATAAGCGAGGGGGCGCATCCCAACGATGTCCTGCATGCGGGGTGGCGCAAGCGGGGCGCGCTAGTGGCCCCCTCCCCCCACCACCTCCCCCGTCCCCATTCCACTGCCTCTTCCACTCCTCCCTTCCTTCATTCTCTTCCCCTCCTTCGCCCCAGTGCCCTGTATACAGGTCCCCCCCCCTCAATCCTCTCGAGACGCTCTCGCGTGCTCCCCCGCCCCGATCCCCCTCCACAAGGACAGGGCCCCGCTTCATGAACCCATCCGCCAGGTTGCTGCGAACGAAGAGAGTACCACAAGGGGGAAGTTTTGGGTATTGCAAGTTGACATCGCTCCTGCTACCCAACTCCCCCGAGCGGGTAACTAATAGGATGATCAAAAGTAACATTTCTTGGGCGAAGGACTGAACGCACTCAAGCTGTGTGACCCAGCAGCTTGATTGAGCACGAAGTCGTCACGCCACATGCGTATTGCAGACCTGTTGAACGATCGCTGGCTGCTTGCTAGCTGCTTGCCGTAGTCTCGGCTGGTCTTAGGCTGTATGCCTCACGCTTGCCAGCTGGATCAACCCTTTCTCAAGGTGCGCCCCCTTTCAACAAGCCTTGCTTCAGCCCAACGTTTACAGGCCGAACTCAACCCACTTTCACCAGACTGGTTCAACGCATCTGGCATGTAGGTTTTCATTCGGCGACGCAGGCTTGGCGCACTTTGGACGGGACACCAAGGTGGCCCAGGAGTGCCCAGAGAGGGTTCCAAGAGCGCCCCAAAAGCACACCCCAACTCGCCCCACGAGGCAATCTTCGGGGCCCCTGCGGCGGGGGTGCGCTAAGTTGAAACGCCCCTGCTTTGCTCGATGTCTTCCAAGATGGCCCCAAGAAGGCCCCCAAGGCTCCCAGGAGAGACCCAAGACGGCCCCGAGAGAGCCCCAGCGGCCCCCCAAATGGCTCCAAGACGGCCCCGGCAGCTACAAAGAGCACCCCAAGCGCGCCCTCAACAGGGCTCCAAGAGGAGACTTTCGAGCCCAAGGGAGGGAACCCGACTCGGCGCCGCCCCATATTCCTCTCCTCTCCCCCCTGCCTCCTCCTCCTCCTCCTCCTCCTCCTTCTTATCATCTTCGTCGGCGTCCTCCTCCTCCCACCTAGGATTCACCAGAAGTTGGGTGAGAACGTGCTCCATCAAACTCTTCTTCCTTGTGTTCGCCTTCGTCCTCCTTCTGCTCCCTTGTCATGCCTGCCTCCTCCCGCCTCGTCATTGTCTTCGGCCCTTCCTCCTGGTTCTGCTCAAGCTGATGCAACAACTTCGATTTGGCCAGTTTCCGCAGCTCTTTGTTCCACCGCGTGCTCCCCCACTCCCCTTATTTAGGCACATTGCTCGGGCATGGTTCTTGGATGCGATGGTGGGTGTCCGTAAGCGTCAGACAATTCAATTTGGTTACGAACGCTTGGCGCAATTTGGACGAGACACGATTGCATGCCACACCAAGGTCGCGCAAGCTGAGCCGAGCGTAACTTCAGCTGATCTCAGTGAGCCCAGCTTCCTCCGCAGTTGCAGTTCTTGTTGCTTTCTTTTATTTTTCTCTCTCCCTCCAACTGGCTACTCCAATTCAACGTAGTCGGATATGTTAGCTTCCGTCGGCGTCGCCTGGGGTGGCCCAGCCTGAACACGACCAGCGGAGCCACCCACAACTAAGCCCAATTGATACAGCGTAGCTCGGCCGAGCGCGACTCAATAATGTGAGCACTTAAAAAAAAAACGGCCTTTCGACATTGGGCGGAAGGGGCAGGGAGGGGGGGGTGTCTGGCTCTGGACCTCTGCTAGTGCGAATGTTTGCAGTACTGGGTCCTATGAGGGGAGACTCCACCTGCTCGACACAAGCGCCCCAAACAGCCAAGATCTACTCCATGGGGGGGGGAGGGGGGATGCGAGGGCCCGCGCCGATCCGCAAACAATGAAACACATGATCACAATGCTTGTTCACTTGTTCGCGGCGCTCTGTACCAATAACTGCTCGGCTGGGCCAGGCCGAGCTCATCTTTTTCTCCGCCTGAACTGGTATAGCCTGTCCTGGTCAACTGGACGCCACCAGACGATGTCCCAGCAAGAACATCCGACAGGAGCCGACCGAACCTGCATTCGTGTCGAGCACCTTTGCACATGATCGCCCCGAACCCTGCATACATTGACACCGCAGCCGCCTGCAAAGCGTGAGCAACTGTCCACCGCATGCACTAACACACATTGCGCCCATGATGGGGTCAGGTCCTCATCCCCCTTGAAGCGAGAAGGAAGCAAGGGTGTCGAATAATACCATCGTGAGCAAAGAGATAGCAAGACGGCGCGTCCGATTGCCTGACTTGCAGTGCGCTCGATAGAGGCCATCGACGGTGAACCCTCCGATATTCCATACCTCCACGCACTTCAGTTGCGACGAAGGGAAACGCAGGGATGGAGGGATGTAGGATGGAGGTAGTGTGGGAAGGAAAAGAGCTGAACTGAGGATGAAGAGGGCAATTGTAAAACAATTGGGCAATGAGCGCCAGGAGCGAATCCGATCGATAAGAACAACGAGCGACTCGTATGGTGCGCGTCGCCCATAACGCACACATCCATGTGCCTAGTCAGCTTGCCATCGTTCGTGCATCGACTCGCCGCGTCGCTCTTGTCACGCCGCGACACAATGCTGTCACGAGTGCGTCTCGCTTGTCGCAGAATCGCGTCGGGAACATAATTGCTTCGTCTCGTCGCTCTCATGCCTGGCCGCTGTGGATACATCGCCCACCCTTTGGCTGCCATGCTCCCGCGTGAGGTTTCCCCGCTACCTATTGTATACTTATTGTGTGGGCGCGGGTGCGCGCGCAAGGGTGTTCCTTCATCCTTTTGCGCTCACATGATGGGTCGCGCAAGAGCGCATGGCCGCGTCCACCCAGGCGCCAAGGAGTACGTACTCTCGTGAGACACTCGCAAGTAGAGCTGGCAACTTATACAACATGAGCTGTCTTCGCGACGCAAATCGCCATAACGATATAGCAAACAAGCGCTTGACATAGCATGAGGCACCGTCACCTCACACACACGAAACTGTGAGACGGTGGCTGCTGCAAATCGGTGGCTCGGTGACCAGGCCTGCCCAATACCGAATTCTCTTCCAACCTCCCTCGCTCCCTCCCTTCCTCGCTCCCTGCCCACTCCTCCCACCTTGTGCTCCGCTCCCTCCCTGGCCCTTTTCCTCCCTCTCTCCAGGCCCACCTTCCCTGTCTCGCTCCTTATCTCGCTCCCTGCCCACCCTGCTATGCATGGGGTGTGGGGGGTGGGTATCGCAGCAGCGCCCGACCAAGCCGTTTCCCCAAGTGCGAAATCTTCCCAGACACCTTCAGGAACATCGAGGGGCAGTGCGGTTGGCAATCTAAGCGATCGTTGTCTCGTCCGTTATTTTTCATGTTCCCGTAAGGACCTCTGGCAATAGTGGGACATGATTTTTGGTCAAAGTGTCGCGGTTCGTGATTCATCGCGCGGCGTTCCGTTCATCAGCGAATCAGCGAAGCCTCATGGAGGTTGGCAAGAGATGGGGTGCTGCGAGCGCGGAGCGAGGCACGCCTGATTTCGCAGCATCCCCGAGAGAGCAGCACACTGACCATCTCGACTCAAGGAGCAGCGCAGCACAGCACAGCACAGCACAGCACAGTCCTGCATGGAGGCACCTGCGCGGGTGCAGCGGGTGGGCGCCGGTGCGCCAACATGAAAAGGTAACGGAGGAAGCTCAGACAGTCGGACCTAGGCCGGAATATTATCCTTCAAGAACATGAGACACTCCGCCAGCTGAACTAAAGAGAACATCCAAGGGTACCCTCCCCAGGGTGCCCAAGAACAGCCAACACGCACGAAAAGCACTAAGGTAGCTACCCTCCCCAAACCGACCTCGACTTTCTACCGCGGTCCGACTGTAGGGAGGCTGGCCGCTCAAGGAGCAATAATGAAAACACAACTCTCCCACGTGGGGTCGCCGTAGCCGTCCGAATTCTTCGGGGGCGATTGGGGCCCACCCTTGGAGTCAGACGATACGATAGGAATATGCTAGAACCACGCGGGCTTCGCGCGTGCTTAGGTTCTGGCGCAGTCCAAGCCAACCTCACAAGATCGGATGAGGAAGGACATCATCCCACAAGGATCACCATATGGGAGCGTGCCTCCTGGTGGACGCTTCAGACCTCGCTGAATAAAGCTCCGCCGCCCGTGGCGCCCGCGAGGGCCGTGCGCACTGCGGCGTCCGGAGCGTCAGCTCCACGGCCGCCGCAGGGCACGGGCGGTTGGCTTTCGCGGCCGGCTCGCCGCACAGCTCTGGGGCTGGCTCGCCGCATGGCTCTGGGGCTGGAGCGGGCCACGCGCTACACTTTTTGATCTGCGGGGCGAGAGCGAACCTCTTCCGCTAGAAGCTAAGCGGGACGCGCACAGCTTTAATTAGCAGAGAAAGGGCGAAAGAAGGCGGGGCCTCACGGCGGCCAGGAGAGGGCGAATGGCCACACGCTACACGTGGGGGGCCGACCGCCTGCCTCACGCACGCGGTGTAAGCTGATGGAGATGCTGGGGTGACATCAGAGCTACAATCCGACATCGATTGGAGGCGGGACTCTGCGCTCTGCTCCGACCCCGTGCCTGGCAGCCAACTGGCAGCCAATCGCAAGCCTCCCCGTGCCCGTGCCCCCTGCCCACTGCCTCTCCCCTCCCCCTCCCCTCTCTCCCCCCGTCTCTCCAGTCTCGGCTTGAGTTTTTTTTTTTGACCTAGGGCGAAGCCACGACTCGAAGCGCCCAGCATTTCCGCTGAACGCATCGCGAGACTGGATACACCCAATTAGCGTGTGACTGATTCGTGTCACCTCCTCTTCAGATCCGCGCGCGCCATGGCTCCAAAAGGTCAACGCCGTGCGCCGTCAGCACGACCGCAACCCAAGCCAACAGGCAAGTGCCGCCTAAAGGCAACATTACACGCCCCCTAGGATTCGAACCTGAGCCGCAAGGAATCCTGCGCCGCCGCACTCCAGAGCAATGGCGGCGTCGATCGCTTAGTCGCTGCATACAAAGAGCTCGCTCACAAGCACCAAACCGAACTCGGCACCGTCTACCAGCAGCATCGCTCCACTCCAGCCAGCGCAAGCGCAGGGGAGAGCTGATGAACATGTGCGGGAAGAACGTCATCTACACCATGCTGCACCACTCCCTGACGCACAAAAGGGGCTCCAGCCGCGACTCGCTAGGGTCCGCGGCCTCAGCCCACGCCCAACAAGGCGGAGAACGGTACATCGTACACCAGCAGAAAATCCTTTCACACGCTAGAAGAGGACAACCGACTCCTGCAGCACATCCGCCGACAGGATATGCCCCTCGCGCTAGCCACCCTGGGACCAAGCAACACTGATCACCCAGGGAAGGAAGTCCTCATCCCTTTCCTCCGTAGGACGGCTAAGGCTACCGATCCAACACCAGGACACATACAAGGAACAATCTACTAACTAGGCCGCACGGAGGTCAAGTGCCTGCAGAACCTCGCCCAAGTGATCCTTGACCCAGTAGGCACCGTGATCTGGATCCGTGGAGCCATCTGCGAAACCGATGCTGTAACCGTCGCGCCAGCACTGCAAAAACTATTCATCTCTCAGTTCCCGGGGGCAGCTCCCACCAACGGCGCGCGCCAGCCAGTAGGTACAGGCACGGCATAGCAGAGGGCCAAGGAGCGCCATGGGGCGGCGAAATATGATCATGTACGCAAGCAACTGGATGACGACCTCACCGACCATCGTTGCCTCCCTCTTCCGCACCGTGCAACCACAAGGGCCCATGAAACTACTGGGACGTCGCGGCATGGCAACGAGCAGACGTAAACTCATCGCCAATTTCAGCATCAAGCCGGCTGACGTCCCAATCGTCTTGGCCGCCTCAGGCCAAGGGGGCATTCAGTCTGATATAAGCTACCACGGCACCAAAGATCATGCGCCTAGTGAATGCATTACGGTCTCCAAGACGGCCAAGAGATCGCACTCCAAGAGGCCCATTAGACTTCTAAAACGTTCAATGCCCTTGGAGCCATTCGCGCCGACGAACGAGTAGGCATCCGCGTGAAACCCGACACGAACAAAGCCGAACAAGTCGCCCTCCGGCTCAAAGGAACCGACGCGGCGCTTACGAAGACAAAATATCGCATCACGAAAGACCATCGAGCCCCAGAGAGCTCCGAACACGCAAATCACCACAATTTTCGCATCCCTCCAATGACCGTGTGAAGTCCAGCGAACGGGATGGGACAACGCCACCAGAGGGGATTTGCCACTACCACCGGTCATATTCAAGGATCCACCATCCCATGGGCCATCACCCAGGTGGAGACATCCGCCGAGCGGACCTTCCGAGAACGCCGACGGAGTAGATCGCCTCACCAGAGACCATCATGTCAAAAGGCGCCCACGCTGGGATCCCCATCGCGTGGCCCAGGCACCAGCACCACGCCGACTCTCCAGGACAGGGCGGCCACCAAGCCGTACCTGCAAGAGTTGCTGACGCCACCCGAAGCGGCAAAGGGGTACACCGCCCCTTGCCGAGTGCCCTCCGGAGAACAGTAGCAGCGTGGTGCCGCCGCGAAGACGACTGCCCAGCGCTCGCCCAGCGCAGCCAGGCCGGCGGGAGCACCGCCATCGGGTGAACCAAAGCCCCACGGCGCAGTGGACTGACCAGGCCTTCGCGACGACGAGGACTGCGTCACGGCGGAGGGAGCCGCCAAGTGCGATGGCGCTGATGCCCTGCCCCGCTCCCACAAGCAGAATCAAGAGCCACCAGGCCGCGAAGACGACTCTGCTGAAGAATGGATCTCCAAATTAAGTGCACAGGGCATCTCGGGCCAGGCGGACGCCCGCTTCCGCAGCCCTCGGCTGAGGCTGAGGCTGTTTGGCACAGTGCAGCGACTCGAAACCACTGTGACCAGTGTAGCCACCAGCCAAACCACGCTGGCCCAACGGTGCCACCAGCTGGAGCAAGGGATTGCCACTGTTCAAAGCGAGCAAACCCCTATCACGGACCTGAAGGCTTTCATGGCACAGGTAGCGCGCCATTGGTCACAATGGCTCAGGCCTACAGAGCGCCAACACACCGACCACCGCACCAGATACCTCGAGACAAGGAAACGAATGCATCATCACAGGAAGCGACCACGGGCAACAGGCACAGCCTGAAGGAGGAGAGGGACCGAGCTACGCACACATCGCCATGCCGCTATTCCGCGCGCGCCCCGAGCCACCTCCAGGCCCATTCTGAAAGGGTCTCGATGGGCCCCCCTCATCCCATCGAGGTAGCTTTGACCGAACCGCTCCGCTGGATGAGGCCCAGCAGCAGCAACTGATACCTCATGCCTTTAAGGAATGGGCGG